ATTGGTGATGAAAGTGAATATCAGATTGGAGGGAGAGGGGTATGGAGGAGGTGAACGTATTCAGTTTATTTGGGAGTGGACGTGTCAGCGATGGGTCTATGAAAGATGGGGTGAATCATAGAATTGATGAGGGAAAAAGAGTGAGTGGTGCACTTGGGAGTCTGTGGAGACAAGAATTTTGTCCTTGGGCAAAGGGGGGAAAATGTATGAGAGTATAGTTTTACCAACGCTCTTATATGGGTTTTGAAGCGTGGGTGATGAATGTTCCCAGCGAGGAGAAGGCTGGAGGCAGTGGAGATGTCATTTTCGAGGCAATGTGTGGTGTGAATATAATGCAGAGAATTCGAAGTTTGGAAGTTAGGAGGAGGTGCGGGATTACCAAAACTGTTGTCCAGAGGGCTGAGGAAGGGTTTTTTGAGGTGGTTCGGACATGTAGAGAGAATGGAGCGAAATAGAATGATTTCCCAAGAGTGTATCAGTCTGTAGTGGAAGGAAGGGGGGTAGGGGTGGGCCTAGGAAGGGTTGGAGGGAGGGGTAAAGGAGGTTTTGTGTGCGAGGGCTTGGACTTCCAGCAGGCATGCGTGAGCGTGTTTGATGGGAGTGAATGGAGACAAATGGTTTTTAATACTTGACGTGCTGTTGGAGTGTAGCAAAGTAACATTTATAAAGGGGATTCAGGGAAACCGGCAGGGCCGACTTGAGTCCTGGAGATGGGAAGTACAGTGCCTGCACTCTGAAGGAGGGTGTTAATGTTGCAGTTTAAAAACTGTAGTGTAAAGCACCCTTCTGGCAAGACAGTGATGGAGTGAAGATGGTGAAAGTTTTTCTTTTTTCGGCCCCCCCTGCCTTGGTGGGAATCGCCGGTGTGATAATAAAAAAAAAATATATATTATATATATATAATATATATATATATATATATATATAAATATATATCATAATATACATATATATATATATATATAATATATATATATAATATATATATATATATATATATTATATATGTATATATATATATATATATAAATATGACCAAACTATTTATTTACGCACTAGACATAACAATCAGTACTTACCGACATTGTAGAGGATAAAATCCAAGGGTATTTGAGTCTCGCTAGATGAAAAAATGTTATTCTCGGCGATGCCAAGCCACAAGTGTTTACATCTTGGTATCTAAACCAGTGGGAAGCAAGAACAGGATGCCACCACTTAGCTGAAGTGACTCAGGGAAGGCTTGTGATTGGTCAGAAATAAAGAACAGGAATCTAGATGCGCGGCACAAGTAGGATGACACTCGCAGAAAAGCTCAGGCTCACAAATTTTGAGGGCTGCCCGATGAAGGGTTTGCATTTACGATTCCTGTTGATGGCGAAGTCATCTTTGTTGCACCTCTTCTGCCTTAAATGGTTGTTACTATTATGGAGCGCTAAACCCGTATGGATTATACAGTGCCTGTGGGGGGGATGGAAGGTATTCAGGCTCAATTCAGGGAACTGGAACACAGATCTAATTCCCTAGATCAAGAGCCCCTCACCAGCATCAGGGAACCTCCCTTGAGGGGTTCTGCCTTTGAAGTTGAGGGACCACATATAAAACATGGTACTCAAAAATGTTTTCTTTTTTTATTCACCTTTGTCTTTCTCACTTTCTATTATCCAGTCACTACTGAATAGTAAACAACAAACCTTACATGCTATAATGAAAATAATTTTTTAAACTAATGAATCATGCATTTAATTGTAGGATGGTGAAAAACCTGCGCGTCATCTTGGTGACATACGGATTAAAGGAGCCACACTCAAGATGGAAAACCTCGTACCCACCGACTCTGGCAACTACTAAGCAGCACAGACCCCAACTTATGCCTAGAACAGATTAACTCGGTGGCACTCGATGTATGCACAAGGCTTATTCCTCTAAGAAAAAGGAGGAGTAGATGTAAAACAGAAAGAGACAGGCTCTCCCTTTACAGGCGACGGAAAAGAATAACAGAGCGGCTAAAATAGGTCAATATATCTGAAATGCGTAGGGAGACACTGGTCAGAGAAATAGCAAGCATCGAACTTAAGCTAAAAGAATCCTTTAGGAGTCAGGAATCGCGGGAAGAACTAAAAGCCATAAATGAAATCGAAAGAAACCCAAAGTATTTCTTCTCCTATGCCAAATCAAAATCGAGAACAACGTCCAGTATTGGGCCCCTACTTAAACAAGATGGGTCCTACACAGATGACAGCAAGGAAATGAGTGAACTACTCAAGTCCCAATATGACTCAGTTTTTAGGAAGCCGCTAACCAAACTGAGAGTCGAAGATCAAAATGAATTTTTTATGAGAGAGCCACAAAATTTGATGAACACAAGCCTATCCGATGTTATCCTGACGCCAAATGACTTCGAACAGGCGATAAATGACATGCCCATGCACTCTGCCCCAGGGCCAGACTCATGGAACTCTGTGTTCATCAAGAACTGCAAGAAGACCCTATCACGAGCCTTTTCCATCCTATGGAGAGGGAGCATGGACACGGGGGTCGTCCCACAGTTACTAAAAACAACAGACATAGCCCCACTCCACAAAGGGGGCAGTAAAGCAACAGCAAAGAACTACAGACCAATAGCACTAACATCCCATATCATAAAAATCTTTGAAAGGGTCCTAAGAAGCAAGATCACCACCCATCTAGAAACCCATCAGTTACACAACCCAGGGCAACATGGGTTTAGAACAGGTCGCTCTTGTCTGTCTCAACTATTGGATCACTACGACAAGGTCCTAAATGCACTAGAAGACAAAAAGAATGCAGATGTAATATATACAACTTTGCAAAAGCCTTCGACAAGTGTGACCATGGCGTATAGCGCACAAAAGCGTTTTTTTTTTTTTTTTTTTTTTTTTTTTTTTTTTTTTTTTTTTTTTTTTTTTTTTTTTTTTTTTTTTTTTTTTTTTTTTTTTTTTTTTTTTTTTTTTTTTTTTTTTTTTTTTTTTTTTTTTTTTTTTTTTTTTTTTTTTTTTTTTTTTTTTTTTTTTTTTTAAGGGCCACAGAAAAAGAATTCGTCAACGAGTAAAGTCCGGGGGCGCTACGGGAAAAGCTCGTTCCAAAAGGCCCAGTACTCGCCCCCATCTTGTTCCCCATCCTCATATCCGACATAGACAAGGATGTAGCACAGCACCGTGTCTTTTTTGCAATGACACCCGAATCTGCATGCAGTGTCTTCCATTGCAGCATGAAAAGCTCCGGGGACATAAACCCAAAATCTTTCAGGGGGCGCAGAAAACAAATTTTGAATTTCAACGAGAGAATTTCAATTACTCAGATTGGTAAAAATGGGGAAAATTTAAAATCTTCATCAGAGACAAAACAAATTTGGCCAAAAAAATAGAGCGAAACACCAACGTCAAAGATTTGGGGGTGATATGTCGGAGGTCTCCCCTTCAAGGACCAAAAATTGTATCAATCGATCTGCTAGAAAAATGCAGGATGGTAATGAAAACTTCAAAAAGGGGGGCCAAAACCCATGAGACACCTTCAGGTCATTGTTTATCTAGGCGGAAATTGCTGCCCCACTAACAGCATTTTAAAGGGCGGTGAAATTGCCGACTAGAAAATGTACAAGAACTTTCAGGGGGGGGGCGCGCAAAAGGAGAGAAAAAACCCTCAATTTTTGGGGAGCGCTTGAGGTTCCAAAACTGTTTTCCCCTGGAACGCAGGGGGGGGATACATGTTTAAAACCCCTGGAAAATCCTAGGGGGACTAGTACCGAACTTGCACACGAGAATCTCCTACAAAAGCAAAAGTTGGCAGACAGCCCCATCCCCCCAATGAAAAGCGGGGGTGTACTACACTTTAAGAACCAACAAAAGTGTCGGGGGCCCGGGGGACTGTTCAACTCCCTCCCAGCAACAAAGGGGGGATTACCAACAGCCCCTGGCAGTCTTCAAGCTGGATGGAAAGCACTAAAGTCATTTCCCGGATCACCCGGGGCTGTGGCTCGTACTTTGGGTTTGCGTGCAGCCAGCGCAACACCCTGGTTGATAGGCTTGACCACCAGGGCTGGCAAAACCCGGGCCGCGGGGGCGTTGAACCCCGGAACTCTTTCGGTTTAAAATCCGGTAAACTACACCTGTGTGGTCAACAATGCCCAGGGCTCCTCAACCCACTTACGTTTTAGGGTTTTTGGTGAGAAAAACTATTTATATTTTTCTACACAAAAGGGGAAATCATAACTTGTAGACGTAATGTAGAGGCAGATGTGAGGATAAAAAAAAAAGGGCAGAAAGCAGAAGGTAAATGACTAATGTTAGATCACGAAACTTTAAAAAATTTTTAGAACAGTTTTTCTTTACACATCAGTTTTACATTCTAAGTCTTTTACAATCCTACCTCTCATTTAAAAAAAACCCAAACCCTGGTCACAGACCGGGCCGCGGGGGCGTTGACCCCCAGAACTCTCTCCAGGTAAACTCCAGGTATCGAAGGTATACTACCACCCTCAGGATGCAACCCACAACAGTCGACTAACACCCAGGAACCTACCTACTGTTAGGCGAACTGGGACAGCAGGTGTAATGAAACATGCCCAACGTTTCCGCCCGGCTGGAGATCGAACCACGGACACTTGGGTTCGGTGAAGAGTTTCTTAATGCATTAAGACATTAAGAAGCAACACAAATGAGAGAAGACAACTTGTCGCCATGTTAAGCATATCAGCAGTTTTACAGAAAAAAGGGAAAACTAAATTGGACAGAGTACCTCTAGGGAGAGTTTCAACAAAATATTTAAAAGAATTTTCTACAGCTATAAAAGTGGAATTGAACAACTTGCACGAAAAACTGGAATCAACCAGCTTATACCAACAATAGAACTGAACAGCTTATACGAAAATGGAATTGAATACCTTGTGCCAAAAACTGAAACCAGACAAAGCAAATGATAAAAAGCTGGAAAGCTATTGAAAAAGTAAATTTGGAAATAATACAGAAAGTTCCCTTCAAGATGGAATCTGAAAAGTTCCCCAAGGCGCGATTAGCCGGGCTGCAATGCTAGTACCAATAGGCTTGAAGCTTGAGACGCTTATGCAACAGTTGTGATGAATGGTTTTGAAAACCGTCTAGTTGAAGATTGAGATACTTATGCAACATATGGGAATCTTTATTGAGGAAACGTCTCGCCACACAGTGGCTTCATCAGTCCAATACAAAGTAGAAAGGTTTAAGGAGAGGAGGAGTTTGAGGTAATCAGTCCCTCAGACTGGAGTCGATGTGTTCAGTCCACCATTCATCACAACTGTCAGACACTGCATCATCATGGGATGGAAATATAAACACATATGCAGTATAATGTGATCCTTTATTGACAACGTTTCACCCACACAGTGGGCTTTTTCAAGTCTCACACAGATCTACCTGGGGTGGAAGGTACCGGAGTATTTATAGTCATGTTCAGAATGTTGAGGTCAGGTGGAGAATGCTGCATCTGATGATCTACCGGGTGGAGTTATAGAGTCTTGGGTAGCTTGGCAGGGGTATTGGACAAGTTGTGAGTAGACCTTCTGCAGTGTTCTATGTTCTTATGTGGGATAGCGATGAAGAAGTTTCTTGGCGAGTGGTTCAGCTATGTTATAGAAGCCATTGTTCTGGTTGAAATTGTTGGTTATAGAGATAAGCGATGATTCCAGGATTCTTCGGTATTGAGTGTTGTCTTCTGTGGCGATAAGTCTTGAGTTCCTGTAGTTAATTAAATGGTTGTGTGAATTGGGGAGGGTTGTACACGGCATTCCTTGTATCGTCGGTCCTGCTTGCATATTGGTGTTCTGAAATACGTGTTTGTAGGTCTCTTGATTGTTTCGCCCACATATAATTTGTTGCAGTCATTAAAAGGGGATTATGTATACCCCTTGCAGAGGACGGTGGCTTGTCTGTCTACTACTGGGGATGTCCTTGATGGTCGTGGTTTTTGGAGGTAGATACTTGGAATGATGTATTGGGAAAAAATGTTGGAAACATGTTTGGCAATGGAGTTGGTGGGGGAGGACTATGTATCTCTTCTCGGTCAGTGTCTTCTCTGGGTGTGTTGAAGATGTTTAATGCTCGCCGTCTGCAGTCTCTGATGAAGTGACGAGGATAGTGGAGTTTAGAAAATACTTGTTCAATTAGAGTGCATTCTTCCTCAAGGAACTCATTGCTGCAGATTCTGAGTGCACGCAGGAAGAAGCCTATAATTACACCACGTTTGGTTTTGGTGTCGTGGTGAGAGTAGAAGTGGAGAAGATCATTTTGGTTGGTGGGTTTTCGATAGACTTTAAAACGAAGTTCGTGGTCAGCTTTGCAGAGCAGAACATCAAGGAAAGGAAGAGTGTTGTCGACTTCTTCTTCAAGTGTGAACTGGATTGAGGGCTCGACCTGGTTGAGCTTGTCTTGGAGAACTTGAACGTTGAAGCGTTTAGGAGTTATGAGGAGAATGTCGTCAACATAACGGAGCCAGGTGACAGATGAAGGAATAATGGTGGAGAAACGTTCGGCTTCTAGATGTTCCATGTATAGGTTCGCCAGGACTGCACTGAGTTTACCTGGAGTTTACCTGGAGAGAGTTCCGGGGGTCAACGCCCCCGCGGCCCGGTCTGAGACCAGGCCTCCTGGTGGATCAGAGCCTGATCAACCAGGCTGTTGCTGCTGGCTGCACGCAAACCAACATACGAGCCACAGCCCGGCTGATCAGGAACTGACTTTAGGTGCTTGTCCAGTGCCAGCTTGAAGACTGCCAGGGGTCTGTTGGTAATCCCCCTTATGTGTGCTGGGAGGCAGTTGAACAGTCTCGGGCCCCTGACACTTATTGTATGGTCTCTT